CCGATCCTGAGGAAGAGGACGACAGTGAATATTCTCAAGATGGATCAGAATGGGATTCAACTGGGTACGTACTTATTGACTGTAATCTCCATTTTAGAGCAGTTTTCGTATGACTGTGAAAACCTCAGTGCCGTGTGCGTGCCTTGCCGTGACCGTGATGCTTTCTAGAATTTTGATTGGCTCATTTTGTTATCGTATGTGATTGATCTGACAGTGCCGTGACCTTGATGTGACCGTGTGTCACGATTGTGTTTGTGCGGTTAGGTTTTCACGTCATATGAAAACTGCTCTAGAGCCTGTGTTACTTATGGAGCAGTTCCTACGACTGTGAAAAGCTTACAGCACAAAGACAGTCGTGGGCCGTTGTGTATTATCGAGGTGAGGAAGTGTGTAGTGTATAATGAATGGAGTAGCCCTATTGCGGGTAGAAACTGTAGCAATCATGCATATTCAATAAGCAGTATTTTTCTGCCTTTTTCTGCAGTAAATCACTCACACCAGTTCCGGCGCCAGTATCACGGGGACAGCCACGCCCTCTTCCTACGAACCCTAAAGTCTCTGTAAGGATCCCAACACATGATATTGAATCTGATCCAGAAGACATACAGGTGAGGGACTTCAGTGTTCAGTGTGTTCCGGTGATTGATTCAGTAGTAAATCGATAGATTGTCTTTTTTTGCGTTTGTTCCTTCGTCCAAAATAAATTCGTAGGTAATTCTTTCACTTATTCATCCTTTTTTTCCCTCCCTCCCTCCCTCCCTCCCTCTCTCCCTCCCTCTCTCCCTCCTCCCTCGCTTCCTTCCAAAAAGAATCAAAGAAAATTTAAAATAAAATAAAATACAAGACAAACCTTAACGAGGTGACTATGAATGACAAAGTGATCTTCACTGCCTTGATTAAAATGCACATTAGACGAGCAACCATCACTTGCTGCAGTTGAACAAAAATAATAAAATAATATTCATAACTATTTAAGACTTCTTTCATAAATGATTTTTTTAAATTCTGGCAACTAGAGTAACTGTAGACACTGTAGTTGCACGCTTCATGCTGAAATTAGGTTTTTCAAGGCCATCAATCAAAAATAATCAGTCAATGTGTACCTTTTATACTTTTGGCTGGTGGCAGTAAAAAAAAAATTTACAACAAATCCCTGGTTGATAGTAATGGGTACCATGTTAATGCAAACCTGAATGAAAGACTTGAAGATATTTTTTCATTCATATATTCAACTATTTCATAAATTATGAATCTCAATTACTTAGTGCTTCATTTGAAATAATAATTTAAAAAAATAATAACTCATGGATGATCTATAATAAATCAAATAATTGCAAATAAAAGAATTTTGTATGCAGCTCCTTATGAGTCCACATGTGAATTATACGTTTGGACACGTTAGCTTTTTCTTTCTGCTTGGATTCTCTACTGTTGCACCTGAACTACTCGCATGTGGATTAGAAATAATCAAAAGCGACTTTGATTATTCTAGATATACATGTATGTATCCTTAATCGTATTTTAAAAACACTCGAATTCAATTCAATTTCAGTTTATTTACACTATTTTTTTCAAAGATCAGGATAAAAGGTTAGTGGGGGAAAAACAGATCTACAAAAAGTAAGGTTGGTGAATAAGAACCCCCATTGATCCATTGATCATAAGTTCGTATTGATAGTATTTCACTATGCTCAAGAAAAATTCAGTTTTAATAAACTCTAATGCTACCAGTATTTAAGCTTCATACTAAATAAACATCTCAAGGGAGATATAAAAAGACTTTTTCTCTTGGTACCTTTTTTGTCCTGTTCATTTGAGTGCAGCCCCATTGGAGTAGCGTTTAGTAAACCACAGGTGGAAGAGTCGTCACTGCCGAGATTTATGTGAACTACTTGTGAGGTCTTGAGGCAGAGATATTTGGAGTCATGACTGGAGGTGAATGGTTGAGCGCTGAGGAGATTAATGAGGGATAATGAAGGTAGAAACCACCAAAAGAACGCCATGTTTACGTGTAGTACTGGACCAGTTGTTGACTTTGATCATAGTTAATAACTATGCTTTGATGGAAGACACCATTACACAGGAAGCCCGAAGAAAGACCAGTAATACTGCGACTCGCTGGAAGGACGAACGAACGACAAAAAAACGACGAACAAACGAACGGTGAAGGAACATACGAAGTAACAAACGAACATAAAACATACATTATTTAAGAATTTTGGAAGCAAACTAAACCGTCTCTAGACAGCCATATCGAGATAAAACCAAATATAAGGGTGTTAAATATGGCCAGTAGTCGAAATCCAGAAGAAGTCTTTCAAGCATCACGAGGAAGAACCAACTATACAAGACTGACAACACTACTGATATGCGGAGGAACTACAATTTTAAGAGAGCTATTCGATTCTATCCATCCACCAGCAAATCTTTCAACTGTCTTGGCAAGTCCTTCTGTACTCACAACGCTAAATCGAATGCGAAGGCAAAGGATTTTAACCGTTTCTCAATGGAAAATTCTATTCCCGTCGCGTGGTACTTATGGTCAGTCGAAGACTTTTGATATTTCTTTGCTTTGTAAACTTCTTAGAGAGATCTGCAGCCTAACAGCGCCGGCTACCGGTTGGGACAGAATACCAAACAGCACGGATCTTTCTTTAACAGCTGATTTAGCTAGAATTAAATATTTTCGAAACGAGTTTAATGGGCATGTGTATGAAGCCATGGAACTGACAGACGAGGAATTTGTTCGCCTCTGGGATGAAATTAAAGACGCCTTAATAAGGATTGTAAAACACTACTCCACAAGTGTCTCATCTTCAATCACAGAGAATGCATGGGAGAATGCTATTGAAAAACTGCTAACTGCACCTCTAACTGACGAAGATAAAATGCACCCTGAAGAATTAGAGAAGATGCAGGTGAACATATTATGTGAATTGAGTTTGTTTGATGTGTTGTTTTTTCCTATGCTACGAGGGTTTTCTCCGGGTTCTCCGGTTTCCTCCCTCCGTAAAAATCAACATGAATATTGAATAGAATATTAAATGTAGTGGTAGTGCAGTGAGAGTGAAAAGTGTCTCCAATTAGTGCGAAAGCGCTAGTACGACTAGACACTTAAATAAAAGTGATTCGTTTATTTTATTTAAGAAAACACTAGAAGAAGCTATAAGAGGAAGAGAAAAATATGCAAGAGCAACAGAAGAAAAGACAGATACCTTACGAACTCAACTTATGACAGTTCAAACAGGTTAGTCTTTAGAAGGCAATAAATAGAGGTTATCAGTCGGCTAAGCATCTGATACTGCTGTGTATTAGTATTTTGGTGACCCTTTAGGCGAGTTGTTGTTTAGCATTGCTAAAAAAGTGAATATTCTTATACCACTATAATATAAGGAATTCCAAGGACAAAGAAAGTTTCAAAAAACACCTTAAAGTGCCTATGACCCTTTTTTTTTACTTTTTCATATCGAAATATAAGCTATTCTAACAAACGTGTCGAAAGAATTTTTTGATTCTGACGCTTCTTTCTATTTTTTTCGAGCGGTCAAATGTGAGAAAATCGGCATTTCTTTGACCTCTGGCCGCGTGAAATGATAACCTAGGGGACTGGGCTGTGACGTCATAGTAGTAAATTGGGTTTAGATGCTTCCTCATTCTCTCTAGATTTCACTAGTATTTATGACCAATTTTCCGGGGGTTTTTTTCTTCAAAAGGCCTCATATTTTTGGTTAGAGGATGTTAATTACTTCAGAATTCAGGAATGAAATTTTTTTGGAGTTAATTTAAGAAAAAGAGAAGCAGCGAGAACTTTTAACAATTTAAAATTTAAAATTTTAAAGTTTTAAAATCGCAACCCAAGGAAAACCTCATACTAGGTTGTCGAGCTCAGAATCAAGGGTAATAGATTAGCTTCAAAAACTTATATATTTCTCATACAGTAACTCTAAACACTACATGTACCTACACCCTTTAACTCATAGATTTTTTAGCATTATTCTTATTAATATCTCATGTATTTATGGATCAATATGCGAGTCCTTGCCGCGCGAAATTCTTCCAGGTCGTTTCTAAGTCAGAAACATCAAATATAAACAAGAGAAACAATGAAATAACTCCAGGTAGTTCACAAAATCATTTTCAATGTTCATGGCTTCGTCGCTTAACAGTTTTCAAAATCTAAACATGAATTGCATTATATGTATTTATACTGTAGTAGTTCAATCGAGGAAATAAGGGTGCATGACACTTCGTATCATCAGTCTAGAGTTATCTCTGGAGTTATCTGTTACTCTGCAGGTCAACATGGTTTCACTTCATAGTCAACTCCCCCCCCCCGGACTGACATATGAATTATTGGACATCCCTTAGTCAAACTATTTTCATGTTTTTTTGACTGCTAAATAGAGTGTTAGATAAAGCAATTTTTTAAGCCTACATGTACAATACCTCAGAGCAATGTTTTGCCGCTGCCATGATTATCAAAAAATAAAATAAAAACAATGCTCTTGTTGATTTTTGGGGTTGGAATGCTGTTTTTCTGCAGCTTGATTCCACACTGTCCTAGAGAGCCCTCTCTCACAAAGTACAAATTTTGACTGAGTATAATTAATATCCATTTATCATGACAAACAATGTACCTGAATTCCCTTCCTTACATGAGCTGTCCCTCTACCAAAATATGCACTTGCTGAACCAGGATGCTCCTATGGTAAAATGTGGTAAATAATTTTAACCTCTCTACAGATTGGATCATTGAGCATACAGAGGGAAGAAGAGACGGATAAAATATGAGTAGATAACATTGCTAATCCAGCAGGATCGATGCTCCTATAAAATTGTAGAACCATCGAAATAGAAAATAGAAACACATCTAGAAGAGATGGATGGACAGACAGAGAATGGAAGGAAAGGAGAAATGAATGATTGAATAAAGATTTAAGCAGGTAATGCACATGCTGATCAAGAATGCTCCTATCATACCATAAAAATGGAAAATAAAAATGTATTGATCAGATTGAAAAAGTCAGAATGTATAGATGGGACAGGCAGACTGTAGAGGGAGGGAGGAATGAATGAATGATAAATAAAATGGCTTACAGCAATATGGGCAGCCATATATGTCGATGGGTGAGTGATTGAACTAAATAAGAAGTAGGTGGGTAGGTAAATAAATTTTAAAATTACTCTAGTTAGATGTTTAGATATCAGATTAATTGATAAGCAACTCTACACTGTATAAATAAAATAGGACAGAACAATGAATGGGAATGAGACAGATGAATTGGATGATGTAAAAAATGGATCTTTCTTTTCATTTGATTGTACAAAATAGAAATTATACCTTGATAACCTTTGTGAAGTGCTCAACAGTACCATTAAGATCACCTGAGTTCATCAACACCATTCCATAAGCTGCCAATTTCAAAAACAGTAATGTCAGCTGGCTGGTGGGTTGATAAAATTAACTTGACAGACAGCAGAGAAAGCTAAAAAGTCTCAAACATATAAGGCTATTTGGAAAATGTTACATGTAACAATAGTTATTCAAATTGGTCACCATATTTTGATTTGGTAAAGAAATCTATTTATTTATCTGTAATCAGATATAAATTACTAACCAACTTTCTCATCTAGTTCATTGTTGCCTGTAGAAAAAAGTTTCTTTGCTGGTTCATGGGTTATGACAAGTTGAAGTCCCTACAACAAGTAAGAAAGAAAAACATTTATAAAGAGAGCAAACAATAAAAGTATCCATGAAACAGTCTGAGTTTTCATTAAAGTTTGAAATAATAGAAATGGAACATGAACTGCCGGAGATTATTATTACTATCATAACTTATAAGCCACAATATAGCAGTATAGTCTGTACATATTAATTATACTCTGATTGCATGTTTTACAATGAAAAAAATGGACTGCCAGTGTGGTGCTTTAAGGTGCTTAAAATGTTTCCTTTGCTTCCTCCCTCTCTCCCTTTCTAGCTCCCTCCCTCCCTCTCTCCCTCTCCCCCTCTCTCCCTCCCTCTCTCCCTCCCTC